GATTGAACTAGGTATTGAGATACCGACGATCGAATCTCGGGCAAGTAACATACCGATGACAAAGGGAACGACGTATGTTGTTATGCGGTCTGACCGATAAAGATCTTCGTAGAATATGTGTGAACCAATATGAGCATCCAGGTTCCGCTATTGGTTATTGACCGGAGACGTGTCTCAGTCATGTCTACATTGTTCTCGAACCCGTAGGGTCCGCACGCTTAAGGTTTCGATGACAGTTATATTATGAGTTTATGAGTTTTGATGTACCGAAGTTAGTTCGGAGTCCCGGATGTGATCATGGACATAACGAGGAGTCTCGAAATGGTCGAGGCATAAAGATTGATATATTGGACGGCTATATTCGGACACCGGAAGTGTTCCGGGTGATTTCGGAGGAAACCGGAGTACCGAAGGGTTACCGGAACCCCCCGGGAGAAGTAATGGGCCATATGGGCCTTAGTGGAGAGAGAGAGAAGGGCAGCCAGGGTGGGCCGCGCGCCTCCTCCCCCCTTGGTCCGAATTGGACTAGGAGAGGGGGGCGGCGCCCCCTCCTTCCTTCTCCCTCCCCACTTCCTTCCCCCTCCTAGTAGGAGTCCTACTCCTACTAGGAGGAGGACTCCTCCTTGGCGCGCCTATAGGGCCGGCCGGCCTCCTCCCCTTGCTCCTTTATATACGGAGGCAGGGGCACCCCTAGACACACAAGTTGATCCACGTGATCGTTTTCTTAGCCGTGTGTGGTGCCCCCTTCCACCATAATCCTCGATAATATTGTAGCGGTGCTTAGGCGAAGCCCTCCGACGGTACAACATCAAGATCGTCACCACGCCGTCATCCTGACGGAACTCTTCTCCGACACTTTGCTGGATCAGAGTTTGGGGATCGTCATCGAGCTGAATGTGTGCTAAAACTCAGAGGTGCCGTAGTTTCGGTGCTTGATCGGTCGGGCCGTGAAGACGTACGACTACATCAACCGCGTTGTCATAACACTTCCGCTGTCGGTCTACAAGGGTACGTAGATCACACTCTCCCCTCTCGTTGCTATGCATCACCATGATCTTGCGTGTGCGTAGGAATTTTTTTGAAATTACTACGTTCCCCAACACCATCACCACGGCCAAGACCATCACCACGGCCTCTACCACCACCACGACCTTTACCACCACCACGGCCAAGACCATCACCACGGCCTCTTCTAAGACCTAGTTGGCTCCCTCTTTGTTGCCTAGTTTCTCGTTGGCTTGTTTGACTTGGTTGGCTACTCCTTGGTTGGCTATCATTTGCTTGGCTTGTGCTTGCATCATTTTTCTTTGATCTTTTTCTTGGTTTGGGACAAGTTCTTGCGTTGTGTCCCCGATGACTGCAGTCCCCACAACGGGATTGCTCACGGGGCTCTTGGAATTGACCGGTGTCGTATTCTCCACCGCCACCACGGCCCCATCCGTCCATGTCACCTCTAAGACGCTTTGTCTTATGTCTTCCCCGTCTAATGACCTTCAATTCCAGGTCCGGCCATAGTTGAACTCCATGATACTCCGGCCATTGTGATAGGTCCAAGTATGGCTGAAACCGGGGAGCCCATGTATTCTTTACCGTCATGATTGAGAACTCGGACTCCCTCACGGTAAGAGGGTGATTGACGTCCACATTCCTAACATGGGATGCATTTAACAAGTGTGAGCATGGGAGATGAAGCAACGATGGCCTCATGCAACTGCAATCACACCGTGTTAGGGAGACCTTGAAAGCGCGGCCTCCGTGTTGGTGGCCATCGTTTGTGGTTCCTCCAGGCTCTTTCACCTCATACTTCCACTCGTTGTCGTCATATAGTACAACTTCTTGGGAGTCTGCCTTTCGTGATTGAAACTCCAACCATTCTTCAACCTTTGGTGGGAAATAGTACTTGTGCTTATCCTTGTTCTCACCAGCAATCTGCTTATCCATCTCCATTGAGTACTTTAAAAAGTATCCATTTATCTTGTCAAATGTGTATTGAACTATTGCCGTCGCGGGTAATGCACGTACACCCTTGAGCACCTTATTGAAGCATTCTGCCATATTGCTTGTCATTTGACCGTACCTCTGGCCATCTTCATCGAAAGCACGTGCCCACATATTCCTTTCGACAATGTTCCTATTGAGAAATTCAAGACCACCGGGGTCAAGTTTCTTGTGTCTGAGCAATGCATTGAACAATGTGGCAAACCGCTTTTTGGTGAAAGCGAGACAACAATCTTGAAGATCATCGGCCAACTCCTTGATACCACATGCCCTATAGAAGTTTGCACAGAAGTGCCTCATGCACCATCGATGGTGCAACTTTGTATGCCCGGGAATGTCAACCACCACCACATTTAGAATTCCTGGATGGCGATCCGATATGACACAAATTTTCCTTTCAGCCGGTAATACCCTTGTTATCATTGACGCAAGAACCACTCCCAGTTATCATTGTTCTCCACCTCAACCAAAGCGAAAGCCAAAGGCAACACCCGGTTATTGGCATCACTTGCTATTGCAACCAACAAAGTGCCCTTGTATTGTCCGGTCAAGAACGTGCCATCAATGGCGATGACGGGCCGACAATGCTCAAATGCCCTCACGCATTGCTCAAAGGCCCAAAATGCACGGCCAAATACTCGGACGGTCCTCGCGTTATGAATCAACGTTTGGTGCCCATGAGGCTCAACCACGTGAACCATGCCTGGGTTTATGGCGGCCATAGCTAACAACAACCTAGGGAGTCAGTTGTATGCTTCCTCCCAATTGCCATACACCATTTTGAATGCGGCTTGCTTCGCCTTCCATGCCTTGCCGTACTTCACCTTGTAATGAAAGATGGCTTTCACAAGGTCAATGACACTCTTGATGCTCATTATTGGAAGTGTGGATATTTGGTTGGATAACCTGTAAGCAATGAACTCGGACGTGAGTTGTCTGTGTTGTTGGTACACAAGCTCGCCATCCGCATTCTTGTGCCGGCACATGTGAGTTGGTAGACAACTCACTATGCGCCAAGTGGGACCTCCTTTCCATGGCCTTGCACGCACAATTCATGGACATCTTGGCGCTTCACATTTGACCGTGTAACGCACATTGACGTTCGAGTTGGCCACTTTATGTGGACGGTAATGTGTAACCGAGTAGTTGTCGAGCCACATCTTCAATTCTAAGAAGGATTGAAACTCACAACCGGGATATATCCCGTTCTTGCCGTCTTCCAAATCACGGTGAGAACTTGGCCTAGCTCTAAGAGATATGCATTTGCCACCATCCACAACGGCTTCATCCGCGAGACTAAGATCCTTGAACAATGATGTCTTGTGATCCCGTCCGAATACCTTCTTGAATGCTTGGGCCTCCTTTGGCGTGAACCCCTCCTCATCAACTTCTTCATCGGGACCATCGTCATCCGAGTCCGATGCATATGCATGGGAAAAAGGGATGGATTGGTCCATTGTCTCTTGCACATGATATTGGTCGAGATCATCCACATTGTTGTCATGGAGATCAACTTCGTTGCCATCCTCCTCGTATTCATCATTCTCCTCTTCAAAATCTTCATTTTGGTTGTTTGGAGTCGGGCTCAATGTTGGCCAATATTGTTGCGTGAAATGAGGTTCACTCATTTGATCTTAGTTAATGGGTGGGGGAGTGCTAGCAACCAACGGGGAAGGGTTCCGGTTCAAGTCCAAATTCAAAGTAGACTCAACCCTCTTGGAGGCAAATAACTCAAGAGCCTTGTCTAGAGATTCGGCAACCGTCTTCTTGTATGCAACCCAACGTTGCTCAGAGTTCACACGCATTGTCTTCCAACGGATGTGCATTACAAAGCCAACATTATGCCTTCCCTCGAACTCAACAACGTCACTTGGGTCCATCCAATTCAAATCCTTCCTCACTTGTTCCAAAAGCTCCGCATAGCTAGGACTACTCTCAAACACCATGTCAAGCTCATCCGGGTCCGCCTCAACATTGCCTTTCAAAAAGGCCTCTTTATCCACATGATGAATATAAACACATGTTCTCCCCATCCCTATAATAATCAAAAACACACATATATCAAGTAAGTACTTAACAAAAATATTTGCACAAAATGCATATGCCCTAACATATATATGAATTAATAACCATAACCCCCACATAACAATTACCACAACCCTAAACATAGCATAACGCTAACACCAATATCAAACACACATAACCCTAACCCTAGCATACTATGAAAGCCTAACCATACCAAATTAGCAAAGAAACATAACATGATTCAACACAAATTTTCAAAACCAAGCCAAAACTAGGGTTTCCCCAAACTAGCTAGATTTGAGCAAATGTGACAATTCCTGTGGATGAAAACGAGGGGATCGGAAGAGATTACCTTAAGGGAGGGGTTGGCTTCGAAATCCACGGTCAAATACTCCGGATTTGTAAGATTTGAGAGGGGGGAAGAGGGGAAGAGAGGAGGGGCGCAAGGCTAAGGGTTTGGGTGGGGTGGGGGGGTGTGGGGTGGGGGTGGGAGGGGAGAGAGGGTTGGGCCAGTCTAAGTGGCACACAGATTGTGCAGCGCCTAAGCGCTAGACGCTGCACATTATAAGTGTGGCGCCTAAGGCTTAGGCGCTGCAGTGCTGTCTGTGGGGCCGCAACTGGACCAGGGCTGCCACGCTGGCAGGAGGTGCGACGCCTAAGGCAGAGGCGCTGCATAGTAGTGTGCGGCGTCTAGCTGTCGGGCGCCACACGAAAGGATCAACAGAGTGAAAAAAATTCGGAAGCAAGTTAGTTTGTGATTTGATTTCGCCTTCAGGTCAAATATGTGATTTCTGCCCACGAAACCTCCGCCGACTTCCGGCTTTGTCCAAATCAGCCGCCCCCGACCTCTCCACGCCTTTCCCTCACAAAATTCGAACTTTCCCGACGCTTCCGGCCACCGCCGCCGCCCAACTCCTCTCCGACGCGGCCGTCACCGGAGGCGCTCTCCCCGCCTGCGCACGCACGTCGCCGCTCCCATGGTTCGCGGCTCCCTCCCTGCTCCGAACCCTAAGCCCCCCTCCCCCTCTCGCCGCCCGTCTCGCTCACCTCTCCCCCTCCATCTCCCGCAGGATTCCTCCCCGGCCCCCGCCGCGCCGACCGAGGCCTCGGCCCCGCCGCTCGAAGACTGTCTCCGCCTCCTCCGCGGCGAGCGCGACGAGCAGAAGCTGGCGGGCCTCCTCATCGCCGCCAACGTCTGCCGCGCCGGCGACGCCGCCGCCGTCGCCCAGGTCTACCGCGCCGTCGGGCCCCGGTTCCTCCGCCGCCTCCTCAACACCGGTAAGAACCAGGGGAACGCGTGGCTACCTTGCGGTTTGTTTGCGGCGCCCGTGTCGGTGTCTCATTGGGGATTTTTGCTCTGTGTGCGCTGCAGGGCTGGGGAAGGTGGAGGGCGGGAAGGAGGAGGAGCGGGAGGCGTACCTGCGGCTCGCCGTGACCGTGCTTGCTGGGCTCGCGCGCGCCCCGGAGGTTGCGGCCGACGCTGGGGTCGTCTCCACCGTGCCCCTCATCGCCGAGGTTGTCTCCAAATCGTAAGAACTTCCCCTCTCTGTTTCCTTCTAGTACTGATGCAATTTAAGTGGTATGCGTTGAAACATTTGCTTAGCAGAGCAGAGCAAACCTGTGCGATCCTCTCGAATCTAGATTAGGCCAACTGTTTAACTGTTTGGATGCTCTGCTTTGCAACTCACATTTGCTTATGAGCTGCCAAATCATCTGCAGGCCTGATCTGACAATCACTGAAGAATGTTTTGAACTTCTATCGCTGGTTGCCATAGCCTCTGAAGATGGGGCATACAAATTTTGTGAGCCTGGAGTTATGGACATGCTCTTCAGTCAAATCTCCAACTTTCCAGATGGTACTAAAATTTTCTGGCCAATCTCTTGTTTGCTTAATAATTCCATCTCCATCTTCCTTCATCCTACCGAGGAATGTTAGCAGTGACACTTGGTCCAACATTTTAAATTTGTGCACCTGGATGTCTGACGGTTGGTTGCGAACTCCGCTTTACCTAGGACGATTTGTATAGTATATCGAGTCAGTGTCCAAATTAGAAGTATTTACATGGGTTAGTTGGTGGATTCCATTAGGTATTGCAGTCCAACAACACATTATATTTTCCATAGTTAGGTTGAATTCTTATACAATTGCTTGATTGTTTCGTTTGTAGGTTCAAGGTGCTTAGAGCTTTCCACTCATCTATTGCAGTTACTTGTTCATAAACTCAGAGCAGACAACATGAGTGTGGAGAAATTGCAAGGCATGGCAAGCATGGTATGGCACACTGGATTGTTTTGCCTGAATATTTCTATATTTCTTTCATCTGCTTGGTTGCTAATTTGATGGTTTGATCTATAATTTTTCTATTGTCATTCAGGTGGCTTCTCTTGCTATGCTTTTCGGTGTACTTCATACGGCATTTAAATTTGAATCGCTGCACATGCTTGCGACACTCCTTTCCCAAAAAGAATCTGTAAGAGTAACCCTTTCCCCTACCATTTGTTTAATTTGTACTTTGGGGATTTTAGCTTAACTACTTCTCTGTATTTTTGGAACACTAAAGCCACTTCATGATGCTTTGAGGTCAATGCCATCCGCAATCTGGAAATCTCATATCCATGGTGGGATTATAGACGTTCTCCAAAACCGTGTTGGTACGTCCATGCTTCAAATTTTGAAATTACATATTAATTGTTTCTGTTTCTACTGTCAAGTTGACAATATAGACCTTACATCGAAGGTTTGACCGTTTGAGGATCAACTGCATTTGCCCAGGATGAAAGTGCTAATATGTCCAACTTCGATAAACTATTATTCTATACCAATGCAGTGATAGTCTATAAACTGAAATGTGCTTAGGTCTATCAGTACCTTTTATTTTTTCTTTCTATTCTAGTTGTCTCTTCTATAACTTGAGTTTTTTTTATTCTTGTACCCATAAGCCGTAGATTTGGTTTAAATTTTCCTACAGCTTCAGGGCAGGGGCAGTTTGTGTAGATTGTTTGGAGCAACAGAACTGTACTATTTACTCACTAAAGGGAGGTACAATGTGCTGTAAGAAGAAATTTTGTAGGGCAGAAGAATGAATCCTAACCAGTGTTAGAATTCCCCTTCCTTTTTGACATGGTCATGACACTAAGTATTTCTCCACTTTCAGTATCTTCCGAAAAGCTACAAGCTCTTCTTTTGGCGGAGTGCATGATGTCCATACTAGGCGAGAATTGGTTGTCAGAAGATCATAAAATCCTGGATAACAAGAATGCGATCTCCGTTGACAAGTACGTTTCACATCATCTGTTGCATCTCTCTCTCTCAACAGATAAGCATCACTCTGGATGTACTTTTTTTCATTTTATATAACAAGTTGACAACTTCTAATTTCTGTAGATTTGTCCTGCTAGTCCTACAATCTGCAAGAGTTGAAGTTGCTGTCCTTCTAAACGAACTTGCTTTTTCGAAATACGAGTCATCAAAAAGTTCTCAGATAGATGATGCCATCATCCAGAAACAGAGAAACCTGGCTATATTGTTTTCACTGATGGAAAGAATAATCAAAATGATATCAGATGCCAGTAGTGGTGAAGGTATGTATACCATTTCCTTCACTATTTTTGGTTCCATGGGCTGCAACGCTTAAGTAATATATTGCCATTTCTTCTTTTATATTTATAACATTCAGTTTTCACCTTTTGTATCTTATGGAAGTTTGTCATTAGCTAATAGGAAGCTTTAACGAACTGATTAAAGTAGTCATCTTGCGTTCTCTTTTAAAATAAAATAAAACCGTATGCAGGTGAACCAAGTCAGACCATCTGTGAAAAGACCATAATGCAGGTAATTACGGGATTAAATGAGACAATCAGCTTAGTGTTGGACTTCCTGCAGGATGCAAAGGTAAATATTTGAATCTTCTGAATTCTGATGATATGAAATTTAGTACTGGAAGTTAATCTTACAGGATGAAATTTGACAGGATCATGGGCAAAGGAAAGGTGATGATCTTTTGGCAGCTGTGAGAATAGTAGGAAGG